TTAACCTCTCATCACTATTTAGGCAATTATTGGATTGATCCACCAAATTATTTTGACAGTATCGTTTGGCCGGAATATGTTAAATACTATAATCACCTATTATCGAGAAACAAGGAAATTGAATCTACAATCAACGATTTAATCGTGTTAGAATCCGTTAATAAACAACAGATCAAAGAAAATATTGAAAAAGTCGTTATGATGACTATTAAAGTTATTGAGAAGAGCAACTTCTATAATAATATCAAAAGCAGCAATGAAGAAGGTAGAGATAACTTCGAGAATTTTAATGCGAAGCTTAACAATACCAAAAGTGGAATGATAGAAAGCAGAAAGAAAGAAGAAAGCAGTAACGGACTTAACAATGAAATCCCTGTATATAGTTAATGTTAATCGTAAAAATAATAACACAAAAATATTATATGAAAATTTGCATCTGTGTTCCACGATAACCTCCCAATAAATCTCAATAGATCTTTTTTTTGTTATATTAACATCTAAGAAGGCATGTAATAATAAATAAATTTATATAATAATATGAAAATTTCAAAGAAAAATCAACATTTCATAATATCATTGTTATATACAGCAGTTTTCAAAAAAGAATTTATCATTACTAACCTAAGTTTAACTTAACTATTTGCAATATTTAATATTTTTCGAGAGCTTCATTTGTAGTATATTTTATTGTATTTAAATTGAATAGACCATTTGTTTGCTGATGAGAAAATTCAATTTTTAATTTCAAACTAGCACGGTTGATTTGATTGTGGTATAATATAAGTTTTTAATAACGAATAGTAATATCAGTACAAATGGATAGCGCATTCTTATAAACCCAATTTTCTTTATTTTAAATCACTTCTTTTATACAAATTTACTTGTGTTTATAAAATCATAAGGTGGTATTATTTCTAATATCACAGTTACAAATTTTTTAAACTAGATTCTTTTTATGGTTTGTAGTTTTTATAAATTTAAATTTGACTTTTTCCTATATTTTTGATTAAAAAAATTTTTTTTATAAATTTATAGTACATTATAAATATATTTTTTATAATATATTTTTTTCTTTAATAACACTTATTTAGAATATAAATATTGATCCGAAATAATTATTAATAAAAATAAAATATAATTTATAAAATTGTAATAATAATTGTCAGAAAATTGATCAAATTATACAGATCACCAGGTCAGGATTATAAAAAGCTAGACTAGAATTATTACTAGTCAAAATTGATTTATTTAGCATAATGTCACTCATCAATCATTCATCAAAAATATATATAATAATCAAATTTATATAACTTTTATCTTTAGCTATAAAGCAGCATATAATTTATTCAACATATAAACAATACACTTTTTTTAAATCTTATTTTGTCAGAAGTTAATATTTCAACAGTAAAATGGATAATTTATTTTTTGTACCAAATATATATATATATTTTGACTTTGCTAAATTATATTACTTTGATAAATTATATTGCTTTGATGAATTATATTATCTTGTCAAATATACATTGCTGAAATTGTCCAATTTTCATAAACATCACTACTTAATTGCTACTTAATTGTTACTTAATAGTCAAATAATAGTAACAGAGCAGTTACAGTAGTGTTAACTACTATACTACTGCATT